AAAAAAAAAGAAAATCTAAAATGACATATGAGGCTTGCGTTTGATTTCTCTTGGACAGTGCTGTTTTGGACAGGAAGTGTGATACGAATTCAGAGCAGGGAAATGTTACTATGGATTCAGGTCATCTGTGAAGTCTGCATGGAGAACTATAGGATTTCAATAAGTAGATAGGTTGGGGGGAGGAAATTTCAGTTGAAGAGAGCATCAGTAGTGAAGTATGAGAGGTTAGTCTGGGCAGCAGAGGAGACTGGTTTGGGCTGCATCACGGGCTCCTGTAGGGGAGAAAAGTTTCCCAGATAGATTGGAACCAAATTGTACAGAACTTTGAGTGCCAAGACTTTGGACTTTTTTCTATAGGCAATGACTGCTTCCCCAGAAGAAAACTAGGCTTCGACCCGTAGCTCATGGAATAGCCTGAATTCAGCATTTTTTCATGTGGAGCATAAGCTGGCGGCCAGGACCAGGCCTACCTGACCAGGACATTTAGAGTGATATCGAAAGTGTGACTTTGGGATTCATTGACCTATCTGTGGGGAGCAGTGGTAAATTTAAGCACACGATAATAATGTCACCTGGGAGAGGAGGAGAATCCAGAGAAGGGTATCTGTGTGATGGCTAATCAGGGTGAGGGGCAAACAGGCCTTTGACCTTGGCAGGCCTTTGACCTTGGGGTGTATTGCTCTAGGCATGTGTGTAATCAGATTGAGTGATGCGTTCTGCCTTTCTTTCAGTCTGTCTGCCTTTATTTTTTGTCTTTATTTTACTGAACATTTATAGGACTGTAACTATGAGTCAAGGGGTTGACATCTGGCTCCAAGGAGATGAGATGAAAAGACCACTGAGGTGGGAGTGGAAACACCTCTTATCCAGCTCAGGGGCTGACTCATTGAGTAACTTTGGTTACCGCTCTGGGCCTCAGTCTCTACAGATAAGAAAGAATCAGATGGGACCAAGGCTTCCTCCAACTCTGTGATTCTAGAACAGGCCAATGTCACAAAGGGAGAACACACCATAGTGACCAGGCGCAGGGCTACTCAGGGAGAGTAGGAGGCTGGGCCAGGAAGGGCAGGCATTGGTGGCCTACCCAGGATTGGCCCAGACCTCTAGGGGAAGCTGCCCTCCTGCGGGTGAGCAGACCCTGCTGGAACTGGAGCACAGTGAGCTCGATGAGTTCGGTGTTTTGATCCTGGCTACCTGCCCCTTCCCTCCCAGGGGCCGGCTCACCAGGCTGAGTGGAGTCCCAGAGGGAGATAGGAAGCTGCAGAATTCATCTCCAGGGATCTCGAATTGACTGGGAAAAGCACTGAAGAAAGTGCGTGTGTACCCGCCCCTCGCCTTTCCCCGGCACCCTCGGGCCACCTGCGGTGGCAGGAGTGGCTGGTAGAGACGAGAGTGAAGAGGGCGCCCTACCTGTTTCTGCGATTTAGCACTTCTGGAATAGAAAGTGGGTGGGAACTGACCCCAGTAAAGTCCCAGAGCCGCGAACACTGACGCACAGGAAAGCCTCAAGTGGGAGGAGAAATGCAAATCCGCTATTGACGATGGCGTCAGCAGCTCGGTCCTGGGGACTGTGAGGGGCGATTCAGCTTTGGATTTGAGCACTGCCTGGGACCTGGGCTGAGAGTGAGCCAGGTAAGTAGGGCAGCCCACGTCTTCGTGTCGCCTCTCCCGGGGAGGAAACGCTTGCGCAGGACGCTGCTGAAACTTTGCTTTCCCTCGGCGGCGTTTCGACAGTTGCTTCACTTTAACTTGTCTGAGGAGGGGTGACTGTGAAAAGAAGTGTCCGACTCCACGCTCCCCAGAGGCTCTGGCGCGGGTCTCCACGGAGCCTGCCCCACGGCCCGCGCCGGCGCCCCCGCGGCTCTCGGCGCGGCTGGGGGCGTGAGGCAGCCGCAGAGGCGCGTCCTCACCGGGCGCTGCGAGCGCGCGCCTCTGCGCTTTCCCAGCCGGCTTCCCCAGAGCCGTGATGTTTGGCATTAGTTTGGCACGCCTGGGTTTCAGGAAAAAGCCTGCAGCTACGGCAGCCAGTGACTGCGGCTTTGGCGAGCGGAATGGCATTTTAGGGCAGGTCATCTGCCTCGCAAGGTACAGGTCACAGAGCCAACGCGGCGCCACTAACTCCCAGACGGTGGGTCCCAATGCGCAGCATTTCTAGTGGCGGCAATGGAGAGAGTGTCCTAGGACTATAGACACCTTATTCTTCCCTTTCTCAGCCTTAAGTTCTGGTCTCCGAAAGGAAAACTCAGGTCTTAGTAGTGATCTTTTTTTCCCAGTGTTTATTTGTATTGTTTAAATTTTTTTCTTTTCTGTTTAGTTGATGCATAATAATTGTACCTATTTATGGGATACAGAGTGATATTTTGATACAAGTATACAATATGTAATGGTCAAATCAGGGTAATTAGGATATTCATAACTCAAACATGTATCATTTCTCTGTGTTGTGAATATTCAGAATCCTCTCCTTTAGCTTTTTGAAGATATACACTAAATTATCATTAACCACATTCACCTTACAGTGTTACAGAAACCCACAACTTGTTCTTCCATCTAGCTGGAAGTTTGTATCTGTTAACCAGCCTCTCCCTACTCTCCTCCCTGCCTTTCCCAGCCTCCAATAACCACAATTCTACTCTCTACTTTTATGAGCTCATTTTTTTTTTTTTAGCTTTCACATATGAGTGAAAACATGCAGTATTTATTTTTCTGTGCCTGACTTATTTCACTTAACATAATGTCAGGAGTGATCTAACTTTAAGATAGGTTAGTTCTTAGATAATAGATTTTCATCGAATCATAGCCAGGATTTAACAATAGTAATGATTAAAATGCTGTTTTCAGCTCATGTTCTCTGTTGTCATTAATTAGAATAATTGATAGAGATATAGCAAGACAATGTCGATAGTAGTGTGGAAACAAATGTCCCAATTTTGTGTGGACTAGATATACACTCAGTATATGGAAGGACAAATGGGTCCGGCTCAGGAGAACTCAGGTTGCCCCTTAGGAGCTGCACACCTTGGGCAGGAGAACACTTTGCCTGTTTAATCCTTAAGGTTTTTTTCCTTTTTAAACTTAACACAATACTAACTATCCTCCTACCCCAGTCATAGCAATGTCAGGAGTGCTGCTCATCTTCATTTAACAAGCATATATTGAGCACTTACAATATGCTAGAATTGTGAAGTAGAAAGTCTTCACAAAGTGATATGCAAATAAAATGTTATTTCTTTTCTCACTTGCTTTCTCTTTAGCAAAACATTGGCAACAACTTTCTTTCTATACATTTTAGATCATTTGCTGGGAGCTCAGAGAAAAGGTGTTCAAAATGGTTCTGTTTGAAACCTAAAGAATAAGTCTGTGAAATATATGAGATTTATTACCCTGATGTTTTATAGGCAAAAGGAAAGCTTAGCCTACCTATAAGATATGTTGAAGTGCTATGGTGATTAATTACGTAAAAGAGATTTTTTCTCTGACCTAGAATTGCTGACAAAACAATCAAAAAATTGACTTTGGAAAAAGTAAAATACAGTAATTTCAAGGAGGCAACATCATATTAATTTTCCTGAGTTAGGAAATACATCTACAGCTTCTAAATTGGCCAGAGTGGGGTTACATGAGGGAAAGCCATGGAATTGCTTTATGACAGGCTGCCACATATGTATCAAGCATGGTTTTTTCCTCCTTAAGTAACTTGAGGCTTTAACCACTGTCAGATGCACACCAGAGACAAATTCAAAGTAAATTTTAAAAGCTTTGCCCACCCATAGTGGATCATCTAGAGAGAAATAAGAATATTTATTGGTTCAGAAATATTTTTTACTAAAAGAACTAGAGCCCATGGAAAATGCATACATGAAATGCTTTATGAAGCTAAGACAATATTAGACCAGAAGGCAGGAACATAAAGCTGACTCTAGAAGCCCGACAAATCTGAAATAAAGAAAAAAGGATTTGGCAGTTTTGTATAAAAGAAGCTTTTTGGGGGTTGTTTCTTGCATATAAAATCTACAGAGGGTCTTAGGAGGTATAGTAAATGTTGAATATGTTTGTCTTCAAGTTACTCCAAGTCTAATAATAAAGAGGGAGCACAGGATAGGGAAAAGGCTTGTTGAGAATCCAAGGTCGTGTAGACAGTCAGGAGCAGGTTGTAGGGTGTTTTAGGGAGGAGAAGCGAAAGCTTCCTGGAGAAGGTGGAGTTCATGTTAGAGCAAGGAAGGATGAGGTTCGGGGGGCAGAGGAAGAAGGTTGCTGTCTTCATTAGTGTTGACTTACAGAAAAACTTAAAAGAATTGCTGCATTTTGGATTGAAAGCATTTTTTCCATCTTCTTCAGTTGAGTGACTATAAAAGTAGAGAAATTTTTCTCCAGTTACTTAACTATTAGATAACATTGATTGAATTCTAAGGAAAGAAGAAAACATGTATCACAGCTATCAGTCAACAGTATTTTAAAACTCTAATTTTACTCCTTTTATAGCATGTCTCAGTGGAATCAAGTCCAACAGTTAGAAATCAAGTTTTTGGAGCAAGTAGATCAATTCTATGATGACAACTTTCCTATGGAAATTCGACATCTGCTGGCCCAGTGGATTGAAAATCAAGACTGGTAGGACCACATGTATTTTCCCTACAAGTTGATGCACAAATACTTTATGCTCTTATACATGTGGATTTATTTTATGGTCCACTTTTGACTCAGTAGATGCATTCTTTTCAGGTAAAGAACTTCAAGGATTTAGCAAGCCTTCTCAAGGAAGGGAATCATTGTCCTTTCTGGTTTCATTCACTGTAGATGAAAACTTAATGGTTCTAGTGCTTTGTTTCTCTGTAAGCCAAAACCACAACAATTTTTTATGTTTTATATAATAAAACCAAGAAGAAAATCTATTGATTATATCAATTCTCTATCACAGACTCGATGTAAATAAATGTTTTTTTCTTAATAAGATTCACAAACATTCTTCAAAGCTTTATTCACTTTGTACAATTTTTAATTTTTTTTAAGCATCTTTCTTATTGTGGCAAAATACGCAACATAAAATTTACCATTTGAACCATTTTTTAGGTATGCTATTCAGTGGCATTAAGTATATTCACATTGCTGTACAACCATCACTATCGTCCATCTGTAGAACTTTTTCACCTCCCCAGGCTGAAACTCTGTACTCATTAAACAGTAATACCTATTCCTCCAACCCCAGCTCCTGGTACCCACCATTCTGTTTTCTGTCTCTATGAATTTGACTTCTCTAGGTGCTTTATAAAAGTGAGATCACACAATAATTGTCCTCTTGTGACCAACTTATTTCACTTAGTGTAATGTTTCCAAGATTATTCATTCATGATGTAGCATGTATCAGAATTTTCTTCCTTTTTGAAGCCGAATAATATTTTATTGTATGTATATACCACATTTTATTTTTTCAATTCATCTGCCAATGGACATTTGAGTTGTCTCTACTTTTTGGCTATTGCTAATAAAGTTGCTATGAACATTGATATGTAAGTATTTGTTCAAGTCCCTGCTTTTAATTCTTCCAGATGTATACCCTGATATAGAATGGCTTGATCATATGGTAATTTTATGTTTAACATTTTGAATCTCTGCCATAGAGTTTTCCACATTAGTTTTCCCTAATGATTAGTGATGTTGGGCGTTTTTTTCATATTTACAATTTAATATTTAAACACTTTTATATGCTTATCACTGTGGAATAGATTTATCACTTTAAAATTAGTATGATAAAAAAGTAGACATTTTACTAAGTTGTTTCCTGTTGTGTAATAACCCTTTTATTTTTTAGGGAGGCGGCTTCTAACAATGAAACCATGGCAACAATTCTTCTTCAAAACTTGTTAATACAACTGGATGAACATTTGGGTCGTGTTTCCAAAGAGAAAAATCTACTCTTGATACACAATCTAAAAAGAATTAGAAAAGTCCTTCAGGTGAGAATGCATTCCACTTTTCCCAAATATTTGCATGTATGAGTCTTAAATTCAGTTTTAAGAAAATCAAATACACACCCTCATATTATTTTCAAACCAGATTTATGGGGAAAATCTGTATTCTCTTATCACTTACAAATTTTGTGCTCAATTTTATTACCCAATATTTTTTTTTCATGAAATTTTGAATATAAAATACACTGTAACTGGGAGGGTGTGTGTATATGTGGGACTTGCACGTGGTTTGTTTACTGGCCATGATCAAGTTCAATAACACTAGAACAAAGATTTAAAAGACAATAGCACCATGGCTTTCCCCCAGCTCTTCCTTGCCTTTGTGTTTTATATAACAATTTATTGTTCACATTCATAAGTGGAAGCATCTTGGGTGTATGTATCCTTTTAGAGTTTGTTCAAATCTTGCTTCTTTTAAAAGTGTTTTTTGGTACTATCTGCCCCATTCCAAAGGTTTACCCAGGCAAAACCCATCTGTTTGTGTTTCCACGGCACCCAGAACATATCTGTACTGCGGCGCTTAGTATATTCTACATTATTTCTATTTCTGTGTGTTTGTCTTTTCCCAAACTATGGGTTCCTTTAGGCACAGACTTGAGTATTCAGCTTTGAATTTCCAGCACCCAGCATAAGGCTGGACACAAGGAAGATGTGCAATGTTTATTGATTAAGGGGATGAATGAATGAAGTGAGTGAATCAGAGATCTAAAGAATTAAGGGCAGGCTAATAAGGAATTAAACCCAGAAATGCTTAGGTAATAAACTCTGAACATGGACTGCTGTAATATCTACTGAGTGCCTATACAATATATTATATATATACAATATATTGTAATATATTGTAATATACAATATATTACATATAACATGAAAAGTACATTGTGCCATTTCTCAGTGAGACATTCTTAGAATCCCCAAATTACAATGACTACATTTTTAAAAAATTTTACCTAGACTATAGTAGAAATATGCTTGACATGACTACATTTGTGAGAGGGATGTATATATTGTTTTTTCCTATTGTTGTTTGGGTTGTGCTGAGCCATCCTTGCCCTTGTAATTTCCTACAAATCTGCAAGACACTTGACCAGAGGTAGTAAAATAGTATATTACCAACAAGACAGGATTTTTCACGGCACACAGCCAACTGTCTCTTAGGGGGTAAGACAATTAATGTTGGCCTCATTAGCTCGGTGCTCTAATCAATAAACCTAAAACAGGGTTGACATACTGTGGCCCACAAGTCAAATGGCCACTGCCCATGTTCATGAGGCCCATAACTAAGAATGGTTTTTACCTTTTTAAGTGGTTGGAAAAGAATAAAAATATAAGAACTATACAATGAAATTTGAAATAATATTTCTGACACATAAAATTATAAGAAACTCAAGCTTCTGTGTTTTGTTGAAACACAGCCATGCTCATTGGCTTATGCATTGTCTGTGGCTTCCTTTGCATTGCAATGGCAGAGTTGTGATGGAGCCTAAAATAAAAATGTGCCTTCACATATTCTATACATATCACACTTACCTGGCCCTCTATAGGAAAGTTTGCTAACCCCTCCCCTAGAAGCAAAGATCCTGTAGTCACTTTGCTAGGGAGGCACAGATGTGTAAATGGGTGATGCATTGTCTTTGGAACCGAGAAGATCTGGGTTAAAATCCTGACCCTCAAAATGTAGCTTTGGGTAAATCACTTAATCTTTCTGACCTGGATCTTTTAATGGAAAGTAGGATGATTATTACTTCCCTTTTGGAATTGTGAGGAAGACTGGAAGTTTTATTCTGGCAAAAGTAGGCTTGCAATAAAGGGCTCTCGTGAATAGGGAAACTAGCAGGATTGTCTTAGTGGAAATCAAGGGTAAGCATACAGCCCATCTTTTGTTCTGAGTAGCAGATAAGATTGGGAGGAGAGCTTCTCTTCTGGCCAGTTCTATCAGACGAACCTTGTTAAAGCAGCACTTCTATCTCACTACTTCACTGCTCAAGAACCTGCCGTAGCTCCCGGTCACATTTCAACTTAAGCACCAACTTCTGCTTATGTCATTGGTCCTCCAGCATCTTTCCTCTTTAGACATTTCCCAACAAACTTCATCAAGCTCCTCAACATCCCTGCCTCAATAAAATAGATCTACTACTTGTTCCCAAACATGTGGAGCTCACTCTTGAATGACTCTGAGCCTTGTCCATGGTGTTCCAACGGCCGGGAATGCTCCGCCACCCCTTTTCTTCCACCCCAGTGCCCATCTATGCCTAGAGGACTTGAGTAGGTCCCAGTACAACCAGGAAATCTTCACCACATCCTTCGGCCTGTGTCCACAGACTACTGGCTGCAAGATAAGTGGCATCATCCTGTGTCCCTTTTATCTACACTGGATGTGTCGTCTAACCAGATCACAAAGTCTCTGAGTACAGGAGAGTGACCTCCTTCCCTCCAGTATCCAATATGGTTCTACTGAAAGCTAGAAACTCAAAATACAACAAATACAAGTTAATTAAGATATGTTGAGCTGAAAAAAAACATTTGCTCTTTCGAAATATTTCAGTTTACAAACTATGCTTATTGCGTATTTGTATTGATTAAAAACATAGCAGAAAACAGTAATAAAGAACATTGTCAGCTATGGTTTTACACCGAAACAAACCTGCATTTCATCTTTCTTTTTAACCTATCATAGTCCCACTGAGTTTTGGGGTTCTTTTGATATGACAAGTCTTTTTGATAAAACAAGATCCCCCTCTCCCTCAAAAAAGAAAAATATTCCTATCAAAATACTATTGAAATTGGGCTTATCTGGTTTAACTATTTTCATCCTCTGGGATTTTAAATACAAACCATCTTAATAATTATACCAAAAGGAACAAACAATATTGTACCTGGGGAACTAAGGGAGTATAAGACTTATTTTGGTTCGTTACAGAGCAGCTGAGTTCTCTAGTTCCAATATTTTAATTTACTATTTATATCACCTACTTCAAACAAGAATTTGGAAGGGCTTGTTATAAAAGACAAATAAAACAAAGCAACTGACTTGAGGGTAAATACAAGAAGCTCCTGGGAACACGGATTGCTTGAATCCTGGCTCTGCTGCGTGCTGGCAATCTGGCCTGGGGCTGGATACTGACGCGCTCCGGCCTCAGTGTCCTCCGCAGTATGAGAGGAAATCACAGCGGTACTTACCCCACCGAAATGTAAGGAGCATTGAAAGAATTGATTTTAAAGCATGTAGTAAGAACTATGTTAGGGCTTGCTAAAAATAAATATCTGCCCCAAATATTTCAAGAATGCTCTGCCCTGTTCTTGGACTTTCATAAAAATTAATTTTATTTTTTAGAGCAGTTTGGGGTTTACAGAAAAATTGAGCAAAAAGTACAGAAAGTTCCCATATACTTCCTTCCACCCCTCTCCCCTGTTTCCCTCATTATTAACATCTTGCCTTGGGGCAGTATCTTTGTTACAATTGTGAACCAATATTGGCACATTATTATTAACTTAAAGTCTAAGACTGTATTAGGGCTGGTGGTGCTTTGTGTTGTACAGTTCCGTGGCTTTTGACAGATACTTTTGTCCGCACCCACCATTGCAGCATCACACTGAAGAGCTTCACTGCTCTTAAAGTTATATTATATTTTGTTACATTGTCATTCTGTTGTATAACTGCAATTGCACACATTTCTTCACTTTTAAGTATATGTGGATTCAGTACTCATTACCACTTCTTTTACCATTGCTTCTCTGTTCCTGAGGTTTTAAATTTTGACTCATTCTGAATTGCCTAGATTATATCAAGTAGTTTTTTCAAGAAGGTGTCAGTGGTGCTGTAATCTTTGAGAGCTTTCATGCTTATGCATGTCTGGTACTTTAAATGGCGCCATGGCTGGGTGTAATGTTCTTGGGTTTCTCTTTCTTCCTCTCAACTATGTGTAGACATTGAGCTGTAGAGATTGGGAAAGTGTTAGGCCAAAGCGAGTTTTTTGCTTGCAGTTAGAAGTGATATTGGAGCTATTTTACAACCAAGACAGAATGAACACCGACTAGTCAGAAAACCTACGGGATCCGACAACTGGTTAGCCTTACTGATGCATACCCACTGAACATCAGCCCTGCTTATAGTGAAAATTCTAACAGAATAAAAGGGAATAGTGTGAAGAATGAAAGTCTCTCATTTCTTAAGAAACCTTTGTCTTCATTATTATCTCAGTTGTAATTTAGTGTGGGATAAATGGCACGTTTCATGACATCTTCTCTTCAGGATAGCTGTAAATCTTGATAATTTGTGCCTCCCAAAATGTAGATGATAAGCTGGCTTCTAATGCATTCTAGTTCCCTGGGTTAGCTACAGTACAGCTGTCACTGGACCAGCTGGGAGAAGCATACATTCGAATGCCAAAGCCCGTTTCTAGGACTTAGCTTCTCCATCTGGGACAGATGGTACCAATCGAGGAAACCATGGTATAGGAATTCACACCCATCTACCTCTGCTAATACAAAACATCAGAGAATTCTGGCTGTGCTAGCTGTTGTTACCATTCTATACCCAGATGTTACCATTATCTTTGAAGCCTCTTGTGTCTCCCCACTAACTCCACTCTGCTCTCTCCCCACCCAGAGTAACCACTGATGCAAATTTTGCATTTATCAGTCTCTTCCGTTTTGTTATGGTTTTACTACATGTATTTGTATCCCTAAACAATGTAGTATCTAGGTTTGTAAGCTACTAAATCTTACATAAATGAGGTCACGCTATATATTTCAGTAACTTGCTTTCTTCACTCAACATAGTTCCAAGATTCATCCATATTGATGTATTGATGTGTGTAGCAGTGGTTTATTAATTTTCATTGTTATGTAGTATTCTGTTGTGTGAATTATCACAAATTATCCATTTTTTCTGTTGATGGGCACTTGGGTTATTTATAGTATTTCTTTGCTAATTCTAACAATGTTACTCCAACCATTCTTGCTTGCTTCCCTTAGTACACACA